TCAGATAGAGGTAGGTTATGGCTCTCATTTAAGTGCCAGAGAGAAGGAACAGTGACACAGAGGATGTGAGTGTTCATTCTGCCAAGACTGAATATTCAGCTAATAATGCCTTGGATAAGCACATCTCTGGGACATGCTTTAAAAACGTATCCATGCAAACGGTCTTTCTCTTGGTCTACTGGGCCCAGTGGAGCAGCTGAAAATTCTCTGAGTCAGGAGTAAGGTGAAAAGGCCGCTGGTTCTTATGTCCTTCTTCACAACACCATGAAGTCTTTCTTGGGTTTCTAGCCCTTCTCTTTATTTAAAATTATAATTACCTTTATTTTTTTCCATAATAAGGACATAATAAGTCTTTCTTGGGTTTCTAGCCCTTCTCTTTATTTAAAATCATAATTACCTTTATTTTTTTCCATAATAAGGACATATAGCACTTTCAGTTCCTGTTCTCATTTCCTTTGAGTATATATGTAGAAGCCAGTTGCTAGGCCCTATGGTAGATCTCGTGTTAGTTATCTGAAGAACTTCTGGGCTTTTCCCCATGATGGTAAAACCAGTTTACACACCTCCAGCAGTATGCAAGGGCTCCATTTTCTCCACATCTTCACTGATACATTATCTCTTCTTGTTGACAAGGGACAAATCCATTATTTAATGGCATTTACTCATAAAATTCCTCTGAATTCGTTATTTTTATATCCATTTAAAAGACAAGCACATCAGAGTCTCAGAGATGAAAAATAACTTGGCTTCATGTCAGACAATTATTACACACAGTACTAGAGCTTGTGACATATTTTCATTGAGTATACTATAGCTGATACCCATATTTGAGGATTAGGCAGGTTAGTAATAACATCAGTGTTGGAAAAAAAAAAAAAAGAAAGGAAAAACAAAACAAAAAAACTCAAGCTAGATTTCATATAAAAATAGGGTGAATATTCTTTATTTTGCAGCTTTCAAATGAAGGGTACACAGAACAATGAAATAAATTAGCTTCATGATCATTACAATACAAATTATTAAAATAAGTTATACTAATAAGACCAAGGTCCCACTTGTGTTTATTGCACCTCACTAGCATCAGTCCTATTCATATACACTAGTTATTTGCACATAAAAACACTTTTATTCAAACCAAGAAGTAGGTAATACCTTTATAAATGTTACACTTTTAAATGGAAATATATTTGGCATGTAATACTGAAATGTAAGGCTGTTAAACATGTTAAGTTGATAACATTTATATACTGTAAGATAACTATATTGTCATTAGCACACCTGTCACATCCCTAAATATCCTTTCTTTCTGGTGGTTGCAGTAAGTTCTGGCCTCTTAGCATGTTTGAGATGATAATACAAAGTTGTCCATATTCCCTATACAAGTATGTATTAGTTCTCTAAGCCTCATTTACTACCAGTTGCAAGTTTGTATCTCAAAGGGCTCTTTGTCCTGTCCTTCTAGCCCCTTCTCATGGAACCACATTTATTTACTCTCTGTTTTTCTGAGTCTGGCTTTTTTTGCTCCCACGCAGAACCACACAGTCCGTGTCTTTTCCTGTTTGACTTATCGCATGAAGCATAATGTTCTCAAGGTCTCTTGACATTGTTGTAAATGGCTGGATAGCTTCCTCTCTAATGACTGAGCAATAGCATTTATAAATATTAATTAATATAGTGTTATAAAGTGTATATAGTATATTATTACATATAGCATACTATTGTCAGTGTGTGATATATAGTATAGCTCTAGATGTCGATATCTCACTTCTTTATCCATTCATCTTTGAAATCTTTGATAGGTCTGAGGTTGTTTCCATATGTAGACTGCTGTGAGTAACGATGCAGCTAACATGAATGGGCAGATATCAATAAGATCCTGTGCTCATTTCTTTTGAGTATGTATCTAGAAGCACAGTCGCTAGGCCCTATGGTAGATCTTGTGTTAGTTATCTGAAGAACCTCTGGATTGTTCCCCATGATGGTGAAACCGGTTTACATGCCTCCAGCAGTGTGCAAAGACTCCATTTTCTCCACATCTTCACTGATGTATTATCTCTTCTTGTTGACAAGGGACAAATCCATTATTTAATGGCATTTACTCATAAAATTCCTCTAAATTCGTTACGCTTATATCCATTTAAAAGACAAGCACATCAGAGTCTCAGAGATGAAAAATAACTTGGCCTCATGTCAGACAATTATTACCAAGTGCTTTAAAAATAGTGTGCTAGAATTGGCATGTGAACTCAGCTTTTTTGGCTTGTGCTTAGTAACTTCTCTCTATACACACTAAAGATCTAAAGATGCTGTAGTGCTGTTCAACTCTCTAATACAGGGCTCTCGCTTCATTCCTTAGATCTCTTTATATACATACATTCATTTTTCAAATATGACAGGGAATATCACATCATCATCAAAATGTGGTGAGCCACAAACTCTGTGTCAGATAGGTTGGTCTAATTCCTGCTCCTCACGCCCTTCCCCCTTATAAATAGTAGAATGCTATGCTGCTTAAACTCTCCTCAGCCAAAGCTTCTTATCTTTGGCACTACTGACACTTTGGATTAGGTAATCCTTTGTTGTGGGTAATGTTGTGTGCATACCAGGGTGCCCAGCCACAGTCCTCTATTACTTGCCCATAGGTTCATCCAATATGGCAATAAAAAAAAAAAAAGTCCCCATAGTCATTGCTGCATCTCCTTGGGAAAAACATTGTCCCAGTAGTGTAGGATGGCTTGCAATTTAATAGGAAAGTAAGTGCATAAAAGTGTAGCCCTCTGTTTAGTTTCTTCCCTGCATTCTACGGAGTTCAAGCAACTAATTACCTTGGAGGTGAATAGTCAGAGCTAGTCAGGCTATGCTGTGGTAACAACAATGCCCAAAGTGGTTGCCACAGCCACTAGTGTGCCAGGGAAGTTGTCCTGAGTAGATTTAGCATTTCAGGTTACTTAAGACTCCAAGCAGCTCAGCATCCACATGTGCTTTCAGACAGAAAGAACATGGTGAACCACACAGAAGGTCTTTGCTATCTCTGTAAGGGCACAGATTGCTTCAGCTTACTTTTAGGCAAAAGCAAATAATGTGACCATGACTAACTTTGAGACGAGAAAGTTTGGTGCTGTGTGCTTGAAACGGGCCATCTGGAGGCACTGGTGAGCATCAATGGTGTCAGCGTTGTTATCTAATAATGTGCCTGCACACCTTTTAAGGGAACTGCAATGTTCTGGGTGACATTGTTAGTGTGCAGAATGAGGAGTCCTCTAGGACCCCCAAATCTGCATACTGTAAAAAGTTTCTGTCATCTACCACGTAAAGACAAAGCCTTTTCTTAGTGTGACTAAACAGTAATAGGATAGTGTGCATAGAGAGAGAAGAGGAGAAAGGATATTGGTTTCCTAAAGAAACACTCAAAGTTCCTCATCCCCTCATGGTTAAGTGCCCAGCACACAGGGTTGACCCAAAGTGGGGCCACTGAGGCCCAGAAGCTTCCCACAAGTCTACGGCACCTCCTGGTGGGGACCCAATAGCAAAGAGGAAGAAGGGGCCAGCGAGTCTGAGGTAAAGGAGCAAAATCAGAGGACAAATCCAGGCAATGGTGCCTTGTTCAGCCTCCCCAGGGGTCTCTTGCCAGTGTCTCTCCTGAGAGTCTCTATATGTCTGCTCCACGTGTCTCCACCATGTTCCCCAAGTCCCTTGCAAGTTCAAAGCTGAGAAGCCAGTGGGTCTCCTTCACATGTCTCTGCTCCGTGTGTCCCCTCCTGCTTTCTCTCCAAAGCCTCCTTCCCGTCTTCTTCAGCTTCTCCTCCCTGCTCTCCACCCTTCACTAGGCAGGGCGGGGAACCTGGAACCTCCCCATTTTCTGGAACTTACACAGTTACAACATGATTCAAATAAAGTTTGAACAACAATATCTACCCATTAGTTCTGAAGATAATGTATAGATTTGAAAATAACTAGTGAGCAACACAACATACACTGTACACAATAAGATTATCATGAAATGCATTCCATTTCCATATTAATTTAGAAATATTTACATTTTATACTTTTTAAGTTTTCCAATTAAAGAGTGTGGTATGTCTGTTGTTGGTTTTTCATAATGGCTCCATTAAAATTTCAGAGTTCTTTCTGGTTAGATGTATTCCTAGCTGCTTTGTAGTTTTGTTATTTTTGAATGATATCTACCCCCTTGGCCTCCTCCCCCCCCCACACACACCCATACACTTCATTTCTCTCTGGCTGATGTGAAAAGGCTTTTGATGTTTGTATATTGCCCTCATCTGGATAGCATAATCTCAATACTTTGAATGTTTTGCATAGCTTTTGCAATTGAATCTCTAGGGAGTTCTTAAGATTTGGCTTCTAAACCAGCTGGGTCCATATTACTTGGAAACTCATTAGAAATCCAAATTCTTGGACTTTCCACCTAGATTTCTCCTTACCTTGAGGCATTAGATGAAACATGCTGAGCCATGCTGAGCACTAATGGAAATAATCTTGACTTTGATTTTATTTGAAAGAAGATTGTGGCATGGTAGTCACTGGGATTCAGCATGTTTCAAAGGTCTCATGCTACTTAAATTTTTATATAGCATTTTTAACAGGAATGATGGTGGGATTTTAGCAGATCTTTTCCAGATTGTACTGATATCATCATAGGAGTTTTGCCTTTAATGTGGCATCATTGTATATATGTTAATGGCTTCCTTAATGTTGAACCACGTATACATTCATAGAATAAAGAAAATAGTTGTATTGTGAGAGACTTAGTTTGCTTATTCCTCTTTCCTGGCAGCCTATTTAACTGTATTATTTATTGTCCCCAAAACATTACCCACATTATTTCCTTTCAATAATAATATTGGTTCTCAAATTGTGGCTACAGCCTTTTCTGTGCCAGATTTAAAGGTTAATTGCATTTTAATACTACATGTTTTATGCAGCTCCTCAGATCTCAAATTCTAACACCAATACTAGTTGACTCCATGTGTTTTTATTAGAATTCTACCAAATCTCTGGCTGGGCAGTTGCCCTCGCCAAGTGGAACATGTGACCATCAAGTTGAAGCATGAACTGGGGATTACGGCTGTAATGAATTTCCAGACCGAATGGGATATTGTACAGAATTCCTCTGGCTGTAACCGCTACCCAGAACCCATGACTCCAGACACTATGATTAAGCTCTATAAGGAAGAAGGCTTGGTCTACATCTGGATGCCGACACCAGACATGAGCACTGAAGGTGAGAGAGTAGAAGCTTTTTGACTCCTTGCTGAGTGTGTTTCAGCAAAGTCCTTGCTGTTTGCCTGCCTGCCCGCCTGCCTCTCTCTCCCTCTCTCTATCTATCTATATCTATTTATCTATAGATATCTAGATATCTATCTATCTACCTATCTATCTACCATTTTCCTCTCTCCCCACCCACCTCCCCACTTCCATCTCTCTCCATTTTACTATCAAAAGACCTAAATATAAATGATAGAAGTGGAATAAATAAAACGCTTTAGGTTTAATGTGGCTAATATATATTTGTGACACCTTGGCTGAGATTCTGTTCAACACGGCTCCTTTGATTTGTCTACTCAAGAATATATCATGTAGCTACTGTGTGTGTGGCATTGGTCTGGAAGCTGAAGTATAACAATGCCAAAAAGCAGAAGAACAATACAGAAAAACTGTGTTCTTCTTGGAACATACAGCCCTACAGTGAAGACAAATATTAATCAAATAGCTATAAACAGAAATCTTAAACTATGATTTCTTTTGCCTAGAAAGATACATAGGTGTTGCTGAGAGCATGCGCTGGCCTAGAAAGGGCAGTCAGGGAAGATTTTCTTGGGAAGTAAGTAATGTTTGCGACAACATCTGAAGAAGGGGTGTGGGTGGGGTGAGGTGGGGCAGGCTCCTGGGCAGGGAAAGCAGCATGAGGAGATTCCCTTTTGTAGAAAGCATGAGGTGTTACTGGAACTGAAAGGCAGCCAGAGCTGTTCCAGATCAGAGGGTGAGGGAAGAGGGCATCACAGCCTGGGGCCACGGGCCGACGGAGGCCAAAGCCTGAGAGGCAGGAAGGGCCTGGAGAGGCCAGATCAACTGTTTCCCTCCCAAGAGTGCTTTGACTGCGCGGTGGAGAATGGATTGGAGGGAAGCCCAGAACAGATTCCCGGAGCCCAGGTGCAGTCAAAGCAATGGTCACTGAGAGCTAATGAGCTAGATAAAGCACCTTAGGGTCAGAGGCCCACAGGGGGCCTTGTTTATGTGGGCACCAGCTGAGCTGGTCTTTGCAAGGTGGGAGTGTGTGACGTGGGTGCTGTCCAGGCAACAGAGACAAATGAAGCATCATTTTGATCTAATGCAGTTAGACAAGTTCAAAACTAATTGCAGTGCAGAGACGCATGTGATGAGAGGAGTGAGTCATGTGCTTCAGGAGGCCTGGCGTGGGAGAAGTACACTGTGCACCAGCATGGAGAGGTTACAGCAGTGTCACGGCCTGCGGGGCGAGCAGAGCAGGTCGATGTGGGAGGAGGAAGTGCATGCCAGGTGGAAGAAACAGCGTAGCCCAAAGTTCAGAGGAATTTTAGAGAAAAGATCTGTGTTGTATCCTGGTTCAGAAAAGGAAGGGAGAGAACGGAAGCCAAGAGAACCAAGCTACACCTGTAGTAGCAACCAGATGCCAGCAGGGGGAGGCAGAGAGCCACGGTAAAGGCTGTGGCAATTTGGTGCGTTACCATTTTAGGGGTCGGAAAGCAGGCGGGGATGCGGAGTGAGGAAACGTTTTTTATCATCACCCCTTGCCCCCAAAGCTCACTCTGTTACAGATGTCCCCATTTTGCAGAGGGAGTGACCAAATGCACAAAAATCTCAGGAGGTCCTCCGGCAGGCTGAACCCCACTGGGAGTCTGTGTCTGCTCTTAACTATCCCTGGGGGTGAGTGAGGCACACTTTTTGTTCCCAAAGAAGGGGTGGCAGGTTACTCCTCTTAGTAACACTGCCCCAGCGATGCTTGACTCGGGCGCAAGAGTTCTGTCCTTTTTCAAAGAAGAAAAAAAAAAGGAAATTTTATTTACACAGAAGAATATTCTAGATCATGTTTGCCCTATCCAGTTTGTTCCCCTGGTTTCAAAACAGAGAAGGCTGTTGGGATAGCGAGCTTGTGGCTTCCAGAGTGTTTGGACTTTTGCTTCCGTGATTCAGGTTGTCTGGCATTGCCACCCGCTAGAGTGATGTGTGCTGCTAACTATGGTGCCCACAGTGACTGCCCTGCTCTCTGGGAAGGGCTTTGCTGATAGTTTGGGTGTATGCAGAAGCCAGAGGGAAAGTGCTGTCTCCTCCACCCCTGCAGTTGTGCTGAAGCCTTCCCTCTGGTGGCAGAGACACCAGGCTGCAAGGTGAGAATGGGGCATCTCCCGTATCCAGGCAGGAATGACAGCAAAATGGAAGTGTCACCTCAAGAAGGACAAACTTCAGCGACAACAGAGTATCTTTGCTTCAGCATGACCTGGGGGTCATCAAAGTGTTAACAATCACAGGGACTTTCAGACCAATACAGCAATCTGTGTGGCTCGCAATATTAGTAAAATGAGCATATAGATTAATTCAGATGAATATTTTTAGAACTGCAGAACAAAATGGCACTGCCGCCGAATGCCATCAGAGTCTGGGAGGAGGCAGTTCGTTAGGCCGACCGTCACCCTGCTTGTCACAGAGCTGTTATAATCAATTGTGCTATCGATCCTCACTGTTGTACTTTTTGTCTTAGACAGTGGGGTAGTCTAGGATTTTATCTTGCTCTTTTCTTTTAAAAAAATTCTGACCGTGCCTTTTTTCCTGAGGAAAAACAAGCTCTCAAATGTAGCGCTCACCTGGGAAAAGCAAATCTGTTCAGTGACATTCCATCTTCCTTCATGTCGGGGTGCAGGGCTGAGCCTGACCTGGGTGGGGTCAGGGCCTTCCGGAGCTAATGTCCTGCCATCTGAGTCCTCGGCCACCCCTTGGTCCCCACGACCTTGGGTCTCGCTCTGACTCACCAGGCAGCAAAGACGCTTGGGAGCCACACTGGAGCCAAGCTTTGCCACCACCCAGTGAGTGTGAGTGGACAGGCTAGTTCCTGCACTGGGAAAATAGGGGTTACAGGATTAGGACTTTAGAACAGGATTATTGATAGGAAAGTGCTCGTGAAAAATCAAAGAGTGAGGGCTGTATTATTCGTCTCAGGTCCTTGAATTTCTTGATACTACAAGTAACATGGACCTTATCCTTGTTATTTTGTCAGAGTGGAGAATAAGATGCTCCACTTAATAATAAAATAAATGAAGTAATAGATTCAACTACAAATTTGTCCCTGGAGTAAGAAAGGTTGTGTGTGTGTGTGTGTGTGTGTGTGTGTGTGTGTGTGTGTGAGAGAGAGAGAGAGAGAGAGAGAGAGAGAGACAGAGACAGAGACACAGAGACACATATGCCAGGAGTGATTTCTTCAGGGTCAACCTTGAGTAGACTCGAGCTATCCTAGCTCCCCCCCCCCCCCATTTCAGGACTCAGTAACCGAGGCTGCTGCGGGCTGCTGTGTTCTGTGTCCCTCGTCACAACCTTTGCTTGCTTACTGCATGCCTTTAGCACGCTAAATTCCTCCAGCTGGGTTAGCCTGAGGAGGTGTGCACCAGAGGTCAGATCAAATTGACATTTTGGGGCTTCGCCTGGCTTTCACTGGTGGATTCATCAGCTGTTACCGAGCACCTACAGACAAGCACTGTCTTAGCGTGCACAGTAAGTGGCACAGACGTGTCGCGTGCATTCAACCTGCACAGAGTTTATAATTTTCAACCCAATTGCCAACATTTAAAACATTTAAAATTTTGAAACTTTCATATAGAAACTGCATTTTCTATTTTACTTAAGGTGATATTGCTTTAAGAATGAAAATGCCTAATCAAATTAAATTCTGTATGGAAGCTAAAAATAGGAAGCATAAAACTCAGGGACTCTGGTGTGCTTGACCTCAGTTTTACTTTGTGAGCCCCAATCCTGCAGCCCCTCTCTTTATTCCTTGGTGAGAATATGCGACCAGGTGAGTGGGGGGCAGAGACACACTGAGAACTCAGATGGACAGCCAGGGCACCGGTGACCACTAGGTGACCGGCAGGCTACCGGTGGGCTGCTGTAGGCTGGGGAGGGGGCTGGCAGAGTGGTGAAGCCCAGAGCCTTTGGGGTCGCCAGTGGCTCCAGTGGCCTTTAGGGAGTAACCTTGGGCAAACCTCCGTGCTGCTCTTCCTCAGATGGAAATGGAGGGTAATCACAGTAACAACCTGGGCGCTGTTAGGAGATGGCTGTGAATGGGCTATTGCATGCAAAGTGCTCAGACAGGTGAACGATGTCAGTAAGGTAGGAGTGTAAGGGAATGTGCAGGCTCCGGAGGTCAAAAGAAACAGCCGCTGTCGCTGACGGGGGTGGGGCTGCCACTTCCCTGGCGTCTGCCTCATTATTTACTTATTCTTTACATTATTTTAAGTAATTATTCATTTAACTTATTTTTTTTTAATAATTTAATTATTACTTAAGAGACATGATTGAAGTTTCTGTTCTGGTCTTACCGAGTGACTGCGTGGTTCCGGGCACCAGCGATGGCTCTTTTCCTCCTGGGTGAAACCTGTGTTTATCCTGGGGGCCTCCTGCAGCGCTACATGGAAGCTGCCGTTTTTCTTCCAGGCACTGAGCTCCTGGAACCTGTAGCTAGCACACATCCCTTTTCAACTGCACACGCTTCCCAAGATGCAAAGGAAAGCGGAGATGTTGTGTTATCTGGGCCTCAGTGCAGCGCCCTTCCTCAGGTCACCTCTGGCCAGACCATGTCAGGGGAGGGGTCCTGGTGGGTCTAGGTGAGCCCCAACTTGGCCAGGTCACCACACTGAGCTGACAGCTGAGTGCCGGGGCTGAGCTCAACTCCTGCTGCACCATCGCATGGGGCCTCTGTGGCCTTTTTGTGTATTTGGCATTTGGAGACAGCCCATACTAAAAACACTTCTGTTTGTTTCCTGGCGATGCACATGATAGCTGAAACTGAGGAACTAACAGGGAACTTGCCATATGATACTGGGGCCGGAGCAAGAAGAACTTACAGCTCCCCAGATCCATCCGTGGGCCTTCCCTTCCCTTCCCAGCCAGGGCTGCCTGGAGCCCACACCCCCGTGTCACAAAAGCCCAGCATAGGCAGGCCTCACGCCCAGCAAGCAGGCCGCTCAGACACACCTGGAGGGCTGCATCTCGCTCCTCCCTCTCAAATCGTGGTTCCGTGGCTCACTTCTCTCCTTGAGATGCAGTGATCCCGCCCTCCGGCCCACATGCCGGTCTGCATGCCTAGTGGTAGCCTCAGCGATAGCTACTGTCCTGGGAGTGACCCTGTGGCAGGTGCTCCCAGCTGTGGCGACAGTGCATGCTGAGGCCCATGATGGACAGGCCGAGTTAGAGTTCGGGGCTCAGTCCGGACTCTGAGAAATCAGGAAGCACATAGGAGCCGCTGTAGCTTCACCCTGAAACCCTCCGGGAACCAGGCAGGAGCAGGGCTATGTGACCGGGCAGGGGAGATGGGCTCTGAGGAGGGCATGACTGCCCCGCTGAAGGCGTCCCGTGAAACACCTGTGAGTTGCTGTGTGGAGCTTGCAGCTGGGACCTCTTAGAGGGGTTCATTGAACACCAGCGGCAGCAGCAGAAATTACTCTGCTTCTACTTAGTTCTCTCCTGTCGCAGAGTGAGCCAGAGCAAAGTGGGACTCTCCCCACCCCCCACGATGGAGAGGTAACTAGAAGGTCTTCAGAGCACATTGGGATTGTTGGTACCATGTGGCCAAAGGTGCTCACTCCTGAGTGCCTGGGCTGTGCTGGCCTCTTCAGGTCCTTGCATTTTAAAAAAAGATTTATTTATTTATGCATACAAGAACTGGGATACAGGTCAGCAGTGCCAGGGCAGTGAGAAGATTCACCAGACACAGAGCGGGGAACAGAACAGGCAGATCTACGAAGTACACTGCTGAGGGGAGCAGTGGGCGGGTCAGGAGAGGTCTGCCACGCCATGTGGTCACCTCCGGGGCAGGCGGGGATCGAACTCATGTGGAAGTGGCTTTAGCTTCTTAGTGCTGTGCTTTAACCTGCTGTGTCACCACGGAGGGCCCAGGTTACTTGCATTTTAAAGGAGAAAAGCAGAAACTTACTTGAGTAAGGGAACATCCCAGGCTTCTGTGAGGATGTACAATGGATGGTCCAGGGTGAGCTTCCCTGCCTCTCCCCACTCCTGTGAGGTGACGACGTGAAGGCTGGACAGGGCTGGTCTGTGGCCCCGGGGGATCCCTTTGGGGTCCTTGTGTCCCTGTGTGCTTGAGGACAGAGAAGAGCTAGAGACTGTCAAGTCACGGGCGGTGGTTTTAACCGCCCAGCACTCTACCGCTCCCCTCCTTCAACCCTTGCTGAAGCAGTTCATGCTGAGTGTCCTCAACTCCACCCCACCCCCAAGTACCAGCTTTGCCCTGAGAACTTGAGCCGATCTCCAGGGGTCTGAACTTTGATGGTTTGAGGCAGAATCTGAAGCCCTTCTCCCTCCATATAGTAAGATTTGCGACTCTCCTAAGGATCACAACTAATGAAGTGATAGTAACTATGTCGACAGTAACTGTTGAATCACCTTTCATACTCAGCTTGTGGCCAGGGACTAAATCAGCGCTCAGTTGCCCCATCTGTCTCAGCCACTAGGTCCTCCTACAGGACACATGCAAAGTAGCTCCTTCATGTTGAATGAATTCAGGGGGCTGCTTTCCCAGAAATTCTGTTTCACACTGACCTGGAAGATACTTTTGGACCCAGGTGACAAAACCTGGCAGTTCTTTAGAATCCTCTAAACCTCCCTCACATGTAAAATCCCTCTCAGGGCTGGGCTTTTCCCTGAGAGGAACTGAAGAATGCAGAAGCCGCTGAAGGCCAGCAGGATGCAGGGGGCACCGAGCGCTGACCTCTGGGCCCCATGAGGTCTCTACCTTATGTCTAGCGGGTTTTGACAGCGCCTCACGCTGTCCTGCAAAACGTCTGCAGCGCCAAGGCCAGGCTCCGCCAGGGGCCTCCCTCGGCCTTTCCGCGCGGGCCGGGCGTGACTCACGAGTGCTGTGCTTCCCCGCAGGCCGCGTGCAGATGCTGCCGCAGGCCGTGTGCCTGCTGCACGCGCTGCTGGAGAGCGGACACTCGGTCTACGTGCACTGCAACGCGGGCGTGGGCCGCTCCTCCGCCACGGTGTGTGGCTGGCTGCGCTACGTGCGAGGCTGGCCGCTCCGCAAGGTGCAGTACTTCCTCATGGCCAGGAGGCCGGCCGCCTACATCGACGAGGACGCCTTGACGCGGGCGGAGGAGGACTTCTTCCGGAAGTTTGGGAAGGTCCGCTCCAACCTGGGTGGGGTGTAGGGGCCACCTGCAGGCCCCCCAGCACCCCAGGGAAGCCGGGGTCATGTGAGGCCAGCGACACAACACCGGGATTCCGCAGGAGCTGAGAAGACTGGCCTCCCCCAGGCCTCTCTGCATGGAGCTGACTTGCTGTCAGGCTTTGGGTTGGCTGCGCCTTTGCAAAGTTGCGCAAAAGCCGCTGGGACTGACTCGGGAGAAAGCCGGGGCCTTGGGCGGGCCTGGGTCTGGCACCTGGCGAAAAGGGGGTGTGCCTTCTTGCCTGCGTGGCCAGCCCCCTGCAGGGTCTCCAAGTCACAGTTGCTTTGTCTGGCGGTGTGGTGTGGCAAGAGAAAAGAGGGGGTTTGTGCGGATTTCCTCCTGCGTGCGCTCAGCTTGCAGACGCACACACAGCTTTTCTGATGCGCTGAAAGGACGATAGAAAATGGGAACTGTCACTTGCTGAAGAGGGAAATGAGGGTAGAACTTTAACCCTCACGCAGCTAAGAGCTCACTGTACCCAGAAAACGATGCTTTCTAGACTTTGCTCAGCACCCCGCTTCCCAGTTGTGAGCATGATCACCCACAGTGATCAAGAGTGGCTCCGAGGAGTGTTTTCTCCCTGGTTGGTTCGCGGTGGCGGTGAGCAAAGCTTTGTTTCAGGCCGCGGCTCGTCAGCCTCAGCCCCTAACACAAGCCTGGGTGGCTTGTTTTTCCAGCCAACAATGGTGAATTCAACTTCCCACCTCTCAGAGTTGATAATCCCGCAGAGGTCCCTACAGTGAGAAATGAAAGTGTTCCTGTCAGTTGCCGAAAGTTTTAAAAAGTAGTTCTACTGGGTACCACCCAATTTGAAGATGGTGGGGTGTCTTCGCAGGCTGAGGCATAGCTCATGACTGCCCATATTATGAGCTATGTCCAACTGCTGTCCAACCCAGGGCCACCTCTCCGCCCTCAGTTTCTCATCTTAATAAACCACGCAGCTCCTCTGACTCTAGATGTGCACCTCACCTCTGACCCCCACCTCCCACCCTACCCCACCCCGCTCCGCCCAGGTTTTGCAGAAATATGGACATGAACATGAATTCGCCTCTCAAGCTCATCGCCTAGAAGAGCCCAGAGCTCCGTCAGTAAGGCAGGGCCGCGTTATGGGTGATGAGCTGGAACTGCTTTGGGTCTTTATGTGCTGGGTGCTTTATAATCTTACCCAGTGTAAACCTGCCAGGACATTGTGAGGAAGGCTTTGTTTTCTGCATTGTATAAATGAGGAAACCAAAACGCTCAGAGATTAAATCAACTGCCCAGAGCCAGATGGCAAGTCAATAGAAGAAATGGGATACAAAGCTAGATTTGTTTCCCTCAAAGTGGGTACATTTCCTTTTAAAATACAATGCCTATTTATTCTTTGTTCCTTCTTTTCTTCCATAAATATTTATGGATAGAAAGGAGAAGCTCTGATTTAGGAACTGTGGGGGATAGGAGGCCGCAAAGTAAGTTCCAGTGGCCTGCAGATGGGGGTGAGTGTCTTACACCCATGGGGCTCTGGGGACATGCATTGGTCCTGGATGGAGGAGGCCAGATAGGACACATATTTTCCCTAGAATTTTACAAATTTGGATTTTTAGGCCAGGTTTAAATAATGTGAAATCTAGCTCCCTTGCTAAAAATAACTAGGGAAAACTATTGTACTCAAGTAGCAGATTTACAGTAGCAATGTGCTGTGTGAAATTTAATCTTAAAAATGGAATATCGTGTGTGTGTGTGAATTTCCTTAATGTCTAAGAAAACGAACCCTGTAATATCCACAAAGACATCTGGGGATGGGCTTTTTTTCTTTTTGCTGTTAGGCAAGTCAGTGAATCAGTTAAAACTATTAAGGAATATTGGAAATACCCTTTCTCTCCTCATTAAGTGGAATATCCAATGTATTTCAGAATCATCTGAAATTTTTGCTAAATAAAAGCATTAGAATTGGTCTCTGTGTGTAGAATTCTTTTAAATGATACTCATCTTGTCTGACATCCACAAGAACACAACTCTGTTCCCTTATTTGTTTAAAGGGGGCAGTCAGCTAAGCTAAATTGTTTTTTCCTTATCACTCTTACTTCCTCATTAGCTGATCAAAATTGTCAGTTACAGGCGAGAGGATGTCAAACGGGAGGACACCTCAAAGAAGGGAGGGTGAAACCTCCAGAGTGTGTCAGAGAAAACCAGAACAGATATCGGGTCATTAGCTGCTTGTCACTGACAGTAACAAAGCTTCCAGAGAACAGGCTGATCAAGTAGGGGAGGAGGACTGTGCACTAGCTTCATAGAGAACAAAAGAAACCTGATGAAGATGGGGTGTAGACAAAAGAGGAAGGTTGACCAAGTTATACCTCCTGATAACGACAATAATGGCAGTCTTAGTAAAAGGAAGAATAAAATGCAAGAGCTTCATTTGCTCCCTTCCCTAAAGCCTTGCTCCCAAAACTCCCAATTTTGCTAATGGAAATGTACTTCCAGTTGCTCAGTTTCTAAACCTGTCATTCTGAGCTCCTCTCTTTCTTTCAAGCAATCACCTTTGATCAATCAGGAAAAGCTGTCATTTCTCCCATCAAAATGTCTATAGACTATGTTTTCCTCCACTGAACCACCATGGTCAGAATCAAGGTGACTGCCAGATAGGACTTCAGCAGGAGCCACCTACCATCTTCCTGACCCACCTCTCCACTCTGTGTATCTTGACAATGTCAACCTGTGGCCAAAGTGCATATCAGCTCATGCGGCTCCTGTGCTCGAAACCACCAGGACTTGCCAGGCTACTCAAGGTGAATGCTCCTCAGGACATGTTCATGGGGCAGAAGGGCACCCCAGAAACCCCAAACCTGCCTGTTCTATATAAGTTCTGCCATCCACCGCATCAGGACAAAACATGTAAGATCTGTAATGGAAAGGAACTTCAATATAATTAGTGTGCAATACAGAAAAGACAGAATATAGTTTCTAAATCAAACACCCAAAGTCACCCATCCTCTCATGGGTAAACGTCCAGCCAAACTGAGCTGGCTCAAAGCAAGGCCTGAAATACTGCCCCAACTCTAAAGCACCTTCCAGTGGGGACCCAAGAAAAGGGTCAGAAATGGTCTGACACAGACAGAAACAAGTCTGGGAGGAAAAGAGCAAAATCAAAACCAAGAGATAAAAGCTGCATCGTCACCTCCCACTGGCCTCTCACCAACATCTCTTTCAACCAATCCAGGGCCAAACACCTTCACCTCCATGAAGAAGTGCAGCTTCCTCACATGTCTCTCAGCTCCACGTGCCTCCTCAGGTCTCCTCCCAGCCCTCAGTCCTGCTTCCTTCCTTTCAATTCTCTTCTCCCTGCTCAGCTACTCCCTTTTTTGGGTGGGGCAGGGAACCTGGAACCTCTCCTTTTCCTGGGGTCCCCCTGTTACACACTGTCTTGTCCTCTCTCGCTCTGTATGGCCACACTCACCTTTTAGTTCTCTGAGTTTCCGCCAGGCCCTAATTCAGGGCACTTCCGCTGGCTGTTGTCTCTGCCGGGAGGTTGTTCCCAAGTGAGCACATGGCTTGTCCCGTCCCCTTCCGTGACGCCTGTCAAAGTCACGTGCCCCCTTCAACCCACCCTCTCAAAGATTCCCTGCTTCATTTCTCTCCATGGAACTCATTATTGGCCAATACATTTCATAATTTGCTTGTTGTTTCATTGTTGGCATCCTCTCACTACATTGAAAACTTCATAAAGACAAAGGGAATCTCTAGCTCCTGAATTTATGAATTGGGGTTTTCCATTTTAAAAGTTGAATTCTCAAGTAGAAGTTTAAATACATTAAACATTAAATGCATTACAGATATTATAAGTCAGCCCAAAGGATGGAAATCCCAGAACATAGTGGAAAGACAGCTGAAGTTGGAAACAGACAGAAAATGTGGGATAAATCAAGTAGGAACCAGGATGCATCCTGCCACGGTGCTCGCACTGACCATTTTAGCACTCTTATGGGAAGCAATCCTGCTTAGCAGGCAGGGAGTCAGAGTTCTGGCTTTTGGTACTTAAACACACGCCATTGTATGAAATGACCAACAGAGGAGCAGAGTGGTGTGGATGGCAAAGGAGGAAATCAGGACAGTGGGAGAATGAGAGCTGGAGGGAGAACAGAAGAGATAATTGTCATTGACATACTTAGCAACACTTGCAGAGAAAAGTCAGAACTCACAGAAGGAAATTTAGTTTGCTGCATATGATTGTTTAAAAAATGAAATTTATATTTTATTCCACAGAGGTCCTTGCCATTACCTTCTTACAGCTAAGTGACAAATCCACGGTCTAGAAAATCTTAGTGAAGACCTTGTACTCACTCTGGAGACACAAGGTGTCTACCATGTCTTATAGGACGGTGTTCAGACAAAAATCTATGCCTCCTCATCATCTCAGAGGGATAAGCTCTTTCTGTGTATTGTGCTGACTGATGTTTTCGGACATGCTATTGTTTATTTTTAATTTCAAGGTGTTTCTGCTTTTTTATACCTTATTTTCTCCTTTCTTGTTTTTATGTTTGCCTTTAATTACTTCTCTCCCTTACAAGGAAAGTACTTTAACACTGAATTTGTACAATGGTCTTTATCCCTGCCTCATGGTCACATGATTGCAGACACAGTTATGAGTTGTTTTAGAAAGACTTTCTCTTTTCTCATGTGTTCCTATATTTTTTCTTTAAGTTTGCTAGGAAAGGTAAAGAAAATTTTGGTAAATCCATAGGAAAGGTAAAGAAAATTTTGGTAAATCCATGCACCTCCTTCTTGGATTTACAATTGCCACCTCATTCCATTTTTTTTTTTTCCTTATCTCTCCCAGCTTCTACCATCACTGAGAATCTTAAGCCCAGTCCCTGTCAAGATTCCGCTAGCCTACTATTGCACTCTTCCTTGTAGTATTGCGTCTCATAATTGGGTGCATTTTTTTTTTCTTTTACGTATGCTTACAGAACTAGGGTACAGGCCAGAGGAGCAGGAGCAGTGAGAGGATACACCAGCGTCATAGTGGGGAGCAGAACAGGCAGATTGACGAAGTACACTGCTGAGGGGAGCAGCAGGTGAGACAGGACAGGTCTGCGGCGCCCTGTGGTCAGCTCCAGGGCACGAATGAAACTCTACAGAAGCAGCCATGGCCAGCTTCACGGTGCTGAGCTTTAACCCTCTGCGCCACCAGGGGGCGCCCTAACTGGGTGTTTTGTGCTCCAGATTTCCTTGGGGTAGCACAGCCACACATTTCCAAGTTTCATTCTGAACTATTTTATCTGCTGCTAGTCTTTTGTTACCTTTGTCTTCATTGTGGCAGATGGGTATCTATTACCAGCTTTATAATGTAATTCCCCTCAAGATGTCGTGAGGAATTTGCGTTTCATTTTAAGCCAGAATCTTCTCAGTCTTTAATACATAAAACACCCAAATCTCAATCTCAACTCTAAAGCTCTTTCTAATGTGCCAGACGATATATCAAATTTTTTTTCTGAAAATTATGATTTGGACATATCCCAGGATAGTGTCTAAACTCAATATTCCACAAATGGAAGTTTACATTCTTTTGTCAAATCTCCTACATTTTCTCTGTTGGGGAGATAGCATCAGCATCTTCTTCTCACCCAGCTGGTTCAAGTGAAAACTTGAATGTCATTTTTGCCTTCCCCTACCCTTTACTACTCTCCTAAGCACTCAACATGTTCTCTCCATTATACCTCCGAAAAGTGTTTTAAATATGTACATCCCACCCTGGTAGGCTCTAACCTAGGTCGTTAAGGCAACTTCCATCATCTTCTTATTATTGCTACCTCTTCCCCCTTTCAGACCATTTCCTACCCTGCTCAAAGACACTTTTCCCAAATTCAAACCTGATATTGTCTCCTCTTTGCTTTACACTGTTCGATGACGCTTCACTAATCCCAGGAAAAACTTAAACATTGCTTATTGTGACCTAAAGTGACCTTTATGATCTGGACTGTGCATTTCTTTCCAGCTTCTTTTGTCATCTACGTAACCCTTCCCTAAGAGCACACTCAACACATGAGGTATCTAAGTGCTCTATGATCTTTTACACCTCCTGGTTTTGCACATAATCTGTTCCGTCTGGAGTCTTCTGTCTATCTGTGTTGGGCCAGCATTGGCTCAGAGTCTGGGTCTCTGAGAGCCATCTTCCTGCATCCTCAGTTCTGGCCTCCCAGGCGTTCTGAGACTTTCATGTATGCTGCTCCTGAAGTCTGTAACCTAGTGCATTTAACACCCTGAGATGGGCACAGTAAACAGTGCTTAGCACTGCTCAGATACTATGTAATAAGTACTTCCTTGATCCTGCACTCAGATCTAACATATATTGCAATCTACAGAGGTATGTAAAAAAGCATTTCAGAGCACCTTCATTTTCCCTCTAAGTTAATGATTGGGGTAACTTAATTATTCTCAAAGGCTTCTTTTAAAAAGCATTTTAATAACTATTTCTGTACAACTAATAATGATTTTCAATCATAGCAAACATCAGCAGCAACATCCTATGTGATGAGCCTGTAAAATACTATATTCAGCCATCCTGTCCTCTTGCTGAACATTGTGTTTATTCAGCCTCCGCTTTGATACTGAATTCCAGTCTGCTACACCTCACTTGTGTGACTTGGCAGCGAGGCTTGGAATGAGTGAGGCAAAGCTTTCAGTACTCTGAGGAGATGGCCGGGCCTCACAGTAAACTACTTTAGCCTCAGTCAGGATCAGGGGGAGGGATGGATGGGGCCAGGGGTGCACTTCTGCTGAGTTGTGTGCTGACGTCAGTTTTTTCCTTGATGACATCTCTGGCACCTGGAGCCCAGTCCACAGGGCAGCAGCTCAGGCTGAGGCTTGTCACCCCCCTGTCAGGGTCTCAGAGGTGTGTGAGTAAAAACCTGAAAGCATTTTTGTCAGTTTCACCTCATTGTAAGAAGAAATTAA